TTCTTTTCTTTCCCCTACCCCTCCCATTTCCCCTACTCCTTTAGACCTTTTTTTCCTATTTCCCAATATATAATGTTCTATTTAAAAAAAACAGTAGTGACAACATATTTTACAAAGACCTAAGTAGGATTTTTTTGTTTGTTTGTTTTTTACAAAAGCATCTAGCCTGTATGGACACCAGGGATCCTTCCTTTGGACAAAATGAATCTCCTGCAGTTTTGCCAATCACTACTCCTGAACCAGATAATCCACTCACATCACAGGATATCCCAGGACCCCTAACTCAGACCCCAACTCTTTCTGCAGAGCAATTTCATCTAGTGGACCAAAATGGGCAGCCTGTTCAATATGAACTTCAATCATTGGGGGATTCACAAATGGTGAGTATATTTTATTTTATTTATTTTATTTTAAATTTTTTTTGGTACCGGGGATCGAACTCGGGTCCTTGGCTTGCAAGGCAGGTGGCAAAACCACTGAGCTAAATCCCCGGCCAGTGAGTATATTTTATAAATAACCAGTTTATGCTATTTAGCAAAATGTATTAGTCTTACTAGATGACCTTAATTTCTTGATACTGTTGGCTTATGTTGTGTTAAAAATTCTGTTTCCAGTCCGGGGATTTAGTTCAGTGGCACCACGCCTACCTTGCAAGCCCAAGATCCTGAGTTTGATCCCCAGTACCAAAAAAAAATTGTGTTTCTGTGACTTTTTTTTTTTTTTTTGGTACCGGGGATTGAACCCGTGTTGTGAGGCAGGCGGCAGAGCAACTAAGCTAAATCCCTGTCCCCACATGACTTTTATTTTCCCCAAGACTTGTTTTTATGTAAGGATTTTAAAAGATTTTCTTTCAGGTCTACAAGTAGCACTTTAAACCAATTTTACTAAGCCACTTACATCTGGGAACACTGGTGTTTTGAGATGAATTGGAAATGTAACAATCTGTAACAAGTGCTGAAGTTTACATGTAATTTATGTTTTTCTCAATATATGTAATAGACTGAACTGGTGACTTGCATGTGAAATGCTGGTATCCTCTCTTGAAAGCATTTCTCTAATGGCCAGTGATGTTGAACATTTTTTCATATATTTATTGGCTTTTTGTACTTCTGAGAAGTGTATCTGTTCTCATCAGAAAGTTGCCCGTTTTTTTTTGATTGTGTCTTTTATTTGGGGGGACTCTAATTTTTTTGAGTTCTTTATATATTCTACATATCAGTCCTCTGTCCAGGGAAATATAAATAAGCAAAATAAAAGATAGGTAATAGGAAGTAGAGAGATCTTTTTCAAAGGGGAAGGAGAACAAGAGATGGAGGGAGGGGAAGGAAAGAGGATGAAGAAAAAGAATTAAAAGAAAAAAGTATAAATAGAGCTTTTGCAGATGAGAAGGAGACCAAGAGATGGAAGGAACAAGGAGGATGGGAGAGGGAGAGGTAGGGGACAAAAAAAGAATTAATATGTGTATGTTCACATACCAACTCCCCATGATAAATGTAATTACATACTGAAAACATGTACTAAGAAAGAATTTTTTAAGAAAAGAAAGGAATGAAGATGGAGATACCCCTTCTGATCTTTGAAGGTAGATAGTGTGTGTGTATATATAATATATATATAGTGTGTGAATAACTGTGCACAGGTGAGAATGCAGATTCAAACTGTTGGCTCAGAGTATTTTTTACGAAGTTCATAGTTTGAATAAAAGAGATGAAAGATAGTTTTAGTTGAAATAAGGATAATTACTAAGAAAAAAATAAAATAAAAT